AGTCTGGCTAAAAACTTCAAAATAATTTTGTCAGAATTCATGTACTATGCAATTATGGAAATTCATTATATAACGCCATACACATTATAAAGTTGTGTGAAATGGTAGAGGCGGCCCTCCTAGTTGCCCTCTATCCAAGTCTTTTTTTTCTACAGTTTTGCTCTTCCAGCGGGGAATTGGCTAGGTGGACACTCCCAACCAAGTGCGGGGTGGATAGGTCCACAGCTGCAGTGGCGTGCCACTTTCTCCGGTCAGAAGTGCATGAGAACGGACCCGAAGAGGTAGTTATAGCCGAAATGCCGTCTCCACATTCCACCCACACGCCTAAGCACAGCCAAATGCGCCACTTACCTGGGCCCTCTCATTTTTGTTTGTTCTCTACCACTGAGTGTGGGCTTCGTTGCGGGACCGTAGTATTAATATGCATATCACATGAGCTCTGACAAGGTCAGTTTCGGATTTTTAGCAAGACTATTCTTTCCTGGATTTTCAGCGTTTTTGCTGCACATTGAGAATAGCGTGAATAGACAGCATGCCACTACCCTCAGCTCTGTTCTCGTGCTTTTTGGCACGGAGAAAATGGCACGATGCTGACGATGGAGAGGGAGCGTGAACAGATCTGCCATCAACAGCCAGTAGCTCTTTTCGGACACCCTAATGAAAACAAGAAAATAAGTCATACTATAATGTAAATAACGGTGGACGTGTGGGCCTTCCCCTCAGGCGAGTAATCCCAACCGCAAATCACGCTTTTCGCTATCTGTTACGCCACCAAAACCGCTCCTCTCTCAGCTCAATGGCTTCTGTACCGGTTCAACATAGTGAGCCGGTCGGCCGTATTGTTAGATACAATGTTGAACGTGTCAGTGCTTCAAGGCCACGGCAAAAAAGTCCGTGAAGGTGACAGGGTATGGAGTCCCACTACTCAGCATTCTTGTAGTAACTAATTTTGCTTCAGTTTCCACATTACAAGTATGTATGACTTGCAAGTCCAACGTGACACCAGACCATTTTCTCTCGGAGTAATAGGAAGGGTAAAGTCGCTGGGGGAAGGAGAGCGCGACATCGTTCGTCCCCACGGGTCACGTGTCCTATTTCAATACCCGCGAGCAAAAATGGACGCCACACTGAGAATAATCTTTTTACCTATTTCCACCTGTCCTCATCGGCTCATTCTCTTCTCAGCTCATTCGTTGTAGGTAATTGGCAATTGATACGCGCTGGTGACCGCGCAGTTTTGTGCTTTGAAATAAACGCACTCGACTCGCGGGTAATAATTCACTACCTTGAATCAGAATAATGCAATCATTTCCTCACACAAAAGAATAATCAAGTGTATGAGGAACTCTGTAAGGTATTGTGCCGAGAGATAAGTGTGCTAAGTAGGCGACGAAGCACAAGGAATTACAAACCAGACGACCCGGAACACTATTGCCGTGCCGATGTAATTCGGCCTCCTCCTCGCGTTATCCTGGCAAAGCAGTCCTTTTCCAGCTTCACCTGACCTAAATTTCCTAACGAAATCTATTCCATATTCATTTCCGATGTCCCCTTTAAAGGTTCGTGAGGATAATGCAAGCGATTGCCTGTGAGGCCACGGCAATGCTCTCCAGCCAAGTGCTCATGTAAAAAAAGGTCCCGTGTGTTAGAAGGAGGTCCCCGTTCTGACGCCTGCAGAAACTATGCGAATCTTTAGCTATTACGCAGCTATACTGCAGCACTTTAGGCGATTCAAGTTGAGCTATGCTTTGTGCCGAATGCCTGCGCGTGTGGGCTAGCACCCAGAACAGCCTTTTCGCCGGCTACCGTCGTCTATGTGAATTTCCTGTAAGCTATATCCCAGCAGTTCCCGTTCTAGTCGATCACTGTATTGGCCTGCCGACAGGCCTGAATCCAGTCCTCTAGCGTGAGAAGGACACCTGAAGTTTTCTTAACATTAATTCGCATTCCTAAAACAATCACTACCGCCACATTCTACATGAATACGCGCCGCAACCGCGCACGAGCTAGTCTGCATTTCTCCTTTATGCGACATGATAAGTAACTGGTTTAAGTATTGATGAAAAGGAGAGACCTGCGTGATGAAAAGCAACTCCTCTCGGAAGGGTCTGCGCTAGAACGGCATCAACAGCACCAGCACATTGCTCCAGACTGACTCTGATTCGATAAAGGGCAACTCGATCTAGACGAGCAGCAATCACCTGATTCGAGCGATAGATTTCATCCAAGATTTTTGCCAAATCCAGAGCCACCTGCAAACAATCGCATTCGATCGCGGGAATTAGGATAAGAATTGGAAGCATTCCAGCAAGGCTAGAATGAGAATTTGTACACTTTCCAAAAGCAGAACTGCCTTTACCTTTTCAACGTCCGCTTTTGATGAACTGAATACGAGAACAAGCTTTCGAAAGAAAATTCCTTCGGCTGCTAAACTGGAATGAGCGGATTTCAAGAAAACAAAAGTTGAAACTAGGTGATGAAGACGGACCCTAAAACAAATTCAGGGTCGCCAGGAATTCGAAATCTCTTCGGAACTTCTCGGATAACGACGTCGGAATTCATATCGCTAATCCGACCACTGCAGCAGATCCGTTCGTGGAGCTCGACTGGTCGGAACTGAGTAGCAATCACCTAAAAAGCAATACATTGTCAATAAAATTTGGTCATGTTTACCGCTGCTTGCCCCGCTCTTCAAGTTAGGCCAGCTGCTGGAGTTCCCTATCCAGGGGTGGTTTGACATTCCGAACACGAATACAAAAGTGCTTAGCATGAAAGTGGCTGGCGCCAGCGCCAACACAACACTATACAGGGATTTCTGAAAACACGCCCCGAAGAGTACTTTGACTCTCTAAACACGGATATTGCATTCGTTAGTCGCGAAAAAGCCCAGCACACGCGCAATAGGCGCCGCGCCAAAAGTGAACTGTAGCGTCGGCATCTGTGGCGCGCGCGTCAGGCGCGTTTGCAACAAGCGAATAGAATACTCGAGTCCAGGACATACTACTCCGCGGCAAAGGTTCTGCCATATTACCAGCTGTGAAAAGTTTTGGCAAAAATGTGAGCGAATTTCGAAGAATGGAGTGGCAAAATCTAATGTTCTAAGATTTTCAAGATAAAAAATGTTTCTAAAGCGGTGAATAACATAGTTCGCCATTTAGAAAGACATCAGAGTTAAAGTTGCGTGCTAAAATTTTGCTGCTGAGATATTGTCAAGGATAAAACATTTGACATCCATAGTTTTCTTTATGAGATGCATCGGGCATTAGACTTCTTGGCGCAGTTCGACTTGGGAGCACAAAGTGGTACTCAGCGAGGCTACTGGTTACGGGGATTTGGAAACATTATTTTCATTACCTTAGAATCAAAAAATACAACTAATAGCACCACAAAATCGTACCTTTGCTTTAAGCCAGTGGCCAACCTCTTCAAGGTTATCCAACGTTGCGCTCATTCCTATTATACGAACTGTAGATGACGGATTCCTGAAAAAAATTGTGGAGCTGTCACGAACTTCTTAATGAGATCAGAACAGAACTTGTGCTGATGCTCCAGTATTCACACCGCAAT